CTGATCAATGTGAAAGGAAGGCTTGGCTGGGCTTTTGCGTGTCTGCACAACGCTGTGTTCGTGTAACCTTACTGGAGCAGACTAAGAACCCAGCTAGGTTTGTATCCTCAGTATGTCACTCTTCAGAAAAGACATCCTCTTGTTATTCTCCTGTGTCGGTGTGACCTAGTGGCTGGTCTCCAGGTTCAGAAAAGGAAGGTTTAATCCTTGATTCTGGCAGTGTCCTGCTGCTAGCTTTTGGATAGTTAACTTCCTTTTCCTGTGCCTCTAGGTACATATGCCTGGGCTTTTGAAAACAATCTGGAAACAGTCATTACTTTAGCTTGCCACTTGGTGGCAAGCTGTACGGCTTGGGAGTTGGAGAAGGTTCATATATGCGAAGGGAGCCATATAGTAGTCTGATTGTGCAGTACTGTACAGAACGCTCTCTACTGCTCCTTCTGTATAGTTGAGATTTGGGAAATGATCTCGGTGCTTCTAGTTCTCCATATAAAAAGTGTGATACAGGGACTAGGTATTCCTGTTACTATGACAATAGCATACTCATGGCCTCAGGGGTCACATACTCCTCTTTCTGTTTCTCCACAGTCACTGGACCTTGCTGAGTACAACGTGCTCTTCGTTTTGAGTTTCACCACACCAGCCTTTGATTCAGATGTCGCACCTTCCTTTGGGACCCTCCTTGCCACAGTCAACGTGGCCCTTAACATGTTGGGAGAGGTACTAGCCATTTCTCTGGGAGAGCACAGCAGTTGCAGTGATCTCAGAGCACTCATTCAACTGATATTTTGAAGACTAGGAGTATTTCCTCTTTTGTATCTCCTGTCTCTAATGCCTGTCTTTTTTTCCCCCTCTCAGCTGGATAAGAAGAAGGAACCTTTCCCTCAGGCTGCAGGGCTGAATATGCAAGAGGGAACCAAAACCCTCAAGTAAGTTTCTAGCTGTTTGATTTAGTCATGGCTAAGGGGCAGAACCTAATGCTCCTCGGATCAGAACTGAGGTTTACAGGCATTCATGTAGCCTCAGAGCTGCTCAGTCTGAATCCAGGGAGTTCAGATAGCCCATCAGAAGCTCTCCAAAGCAATCGGATTTTTTTGGGAGGGTGTGTGAAGCCATCCCATCCTAAGATGCAGTGTAGAGAGTTGTTTGATGCTTATTTACCAGCATATTTAAACCAGACTTCCCTGATGGCCCACAGGGGTTTCTACTCTGCAGACCATAGCTTTTGGGTATCACTGCTTGAGCAGAATGTGAACAGTAACAGTGCTCCCTCGTATGCACCCTGTGTGTGAAGTCTTTCTGGGAGTGTTTGACCTTGAAACTAGAGCGTGCTGACCTTTTTGGCTCCTGCTGATGTGCGTTTCTTTGCACAGGTCTCTTCTCATGTTTACAATGGAAAACTGTTTCTACCTGCTCATCTCCCAGGCTGTTCGGTACTTGAGAGACCCAGCTGTGCATCCCCGCGATAAGCAGCGGATGAAACAGGAGCTCAGCTCTGAGCTGGTAAGCAGCTTGTACCATCCTTTCTCGCTGTTCAGTATAAATGTGTCTTGTGGGAGAAGGTCGTTTGTCTTTGGCTGCCCAGTAGAGCCCGTTCCCCAGCATGAGTCAACAGCCTTAGGCGTCTTGGGCTGCACCTACTGGTGCCTGTTCCTGTGCCACTGGCACCTTGTTTGGGGAGGGAGAGGGGCATGTGTTTGAAAGAAGCTAACTTGTTACGTGCTTCTAATTTCAGAGTACACTGCTCTCCAGCCTGTCTCGTTACTTCCGCCGCGGGGGTCCCTCTTCACCCGCCAGTGGGGTTCTTCCCTCTCCCCAAGGAAAGTCTGCCTCCAAGCTGGGTCCTGAGGGGCAGGAGCCTTTGTTTCAGCTTGTGCAGGCCTTTGTCCGGCACGTGCAGAGATAGATTCTATCCTGCCCCTGCCTCCCTTTTCAGGACTTGCAGCAGAATGATTCATGTCCACCACAGAAGGCATCACTTTTGGCAGAGCTCGTAACAAGGAGTGGGAAAGGGAGGGAGGCCTGGTGTGGGCAGTGGTGTAAACCGAGCTGTAACATCAACAGCGAGATCCCGTTGAACTCTTGCAACCCAGTAGCGGAGTGAATGTAAGGAGAGCCGAGAGCGGCTCTTCAGTGATGAGCCCACGTGCGCAGCCTGCCCGCTCCACCTGCTAGAGCATCCTGGCTGGGTACAAGTGCTGAACAGTCAAAACCTTTATTTTTATAGCTTGTACCTCAGCTGGGGAAGCTGTGGCTGGATGGAGAGAGGAGACAAACTTTCCGCTGGGCATTAACTCTGCTCTTAACACAAGGTGCAATTTGCCTCTCCCTCGCAGTCAGAGTCCAGTTAAGGCACAACCAAGGGATCAGCCAGCAATTCAGAGACCATCTTTCTACTGCTATTTTTGTACTGAATGGTTCAAGGCAAGATGGTGTATGTGTGCTCACGCCTTCCCTTCACCCTGCAGTCTGTGTGTTGTGTGTGTTTCTGAAGAGCAAGGCCTCACTCAAGGTTTTTAAGTCAAAATTCCATTGCTCCAGTCTTGCAGATTTTTGTAACTGTGCCCTATTTATACTGATATTAAAACCTTTATAGACAGCAGCTGGGTTCGTGGTTTTGTGTTGGGCATAGCAGCCTGCAGCACCAATTCTGCATCTTTTCTGTGTAGTAGTTCTGCTGCATCAACTGGGCTGAAGTCCCAGCTAACAGTGATGCGAGTTGTGGCTTGTGAGCGATGATCCAGATACCGTTTGAAGCGATTATAAGCAAAGGTTGATTCCCTCAGCTCTCCCACACCCACTCTCTCTCTTTTACTCTCATGTTGGGGAATTTGTAGGAGGTTTTAAACGAACATCACTATAAAATACTCCTCAGGAATGATTCCTCTGCACACGATGGTGTGGACCATGCGCACGGATTACTCTGTGCACAGGTCCAAGCTGCTACTCTGCCTGTTGCAGCAGCAGGGGAAGGCTGCGGGTTCAAGCTAGAAGAAAGACGCTATCTACGGTGAAGTTGTATTGTGCTGTTGTAGCGCTCTCAAGTAGATCAACAAACTCTTTGAGGTTCCAAGGCTCAATGTGTGATGGCGACAGTAAGAGAAGGGCAGTGATTACTGCTTAAAATAAAGCCTGAAATCTAGATGGACTTTTCTAAGGTAAGAAATCAAATTTCAGTGTAGCTGTGAGCTAGTAACCTACCAATTCTTTCCTAAAGAGACATTTGATTGCTTTACCAGTCAGAACCTTTTTAGTCTCGATGGTTTTAAGAGTCTACAGCAAGAAAATTAGATTATGTTGCTTTGAGTTGTTTTTTTGGTTTTTTTTCTTTTCCCTTGTAAGCTTAAGTGATGGTGATAGTCTAGCACACTTGTTTGACCGAGTTTTAGTTGCCCTGGAGGCTTTGGAGGGATTTGAACTAGCTGGCTGGAGCGAAGTGGTCTTCAAGTAGAAGGGAGAGGGGCTTGATTACCTTCCAAAAGCTCAGGTGAGCTGCTCTGACAGTGAGGGAGGTGGTGTGACAGTCCTAAGCCCGATTGTGTTTAGATGGGGCTACCTGTAACCATGAACACTTTCTGCCACAGGGAACTATGAGTGCGAACGCGGAGATTTGAAGGTGAAGAACTGTGCAGAGAAGATAGATAGCAAATTGGTGACAGGTAGCTATGGGGAGTGGAAGTAAAGCCAGAATTCAGTACATCTAAGCAAGTACAGTAGTGCTTAGGGCTGTTATTTGATAGCTCTTGTGGGTGTCTTTCCTTTTGCTACAGCTATGCAGTGTGCTAATCTGTTAGTGTTCAGCAAGAATGGCTGGAATGAGAATTTAGGGAGAAGTAATACGTTCTTTTAGATATTTATTCAAGCAGTAGAGTGAGAGTTTACGGTGCTAGGCAGGAGTCCTTGGTGCCAGACAGCAAAGAATAGTGGATGCTGTTGGTTACATCTGTGTTTTAGAGCTATAGCTTCACTTCAAACAAACAGCAGCATTTCAGCCCTGAGTTGTACCTTTACCTGCCCCGCAGCCACAAAGGGGCACAGAACAGCTTTCAGCCAAGGGTGGCTCACTGTGACACCTGCAAATAAGCAGCGTGAGAGTGTAATCTTTCTGTAAAGAGCCAGTTAGAAGTAGCACTAATATTTTCATGTGCTCTTTTCTAATGCAGAGGGAGGGGAGCGCTGCTGCCAGGAACAGACTTCCTTCTGGCTTTTCTGAGGGAAGAGACACTGTTTTCTGCATCATTAAGCTGCTGCTGTTTTTGCCAAAGCCGTTCTTCCTCTTCCTTTAATGTACCAGGGAGAGGAGTAACAGGGAAGCAGGGATGTTCCTGGCCTGAGAGAAAGGTATGCATACTGGAAGCTGGAAGGGAAATAGGCAGGGGTAGATCTACAAAAGCGTAGAACTGTGGTAGTGGTAATCACTGCAAGTGTAAGACTAACTAAAACAGTAGCAGGGTGTGATTTCCCCATTCCCTTCCATTAGAGTTTAACTGTAGAAAAACTGAGCGCTATTGCTCCACTACAGAGCATTTCAACAGCTGCTTTTCCCAGGAGTTCTTTCCAAGCTGGCTGCTAGGGACGAGGCTTTAGGATTTTAAATTAGCAGCAGATCTAGTTTCCATAACAACGAAAAAGAGTCTGTTAGATCTAGGATAGCATTTCTAGTCTCTCAGCAGCTAAAGTCATACTGCTGCTCTATTTTTGCTTCAGGTTAAGGAGGAGCTGTTGTTTCTTAGAGTTCCTGAATCTGTAGTACAACTGAGATGTGTCATCTGGGAAAGGAACTGCAAGACATTAACAACCTTAAGGCATGTTGAGAGTTTCAGCTGGGACAGGAAGGATTGACAGCTTTGTTTTGCTTTTCCACCTGGCTTCCAAGACTGGGATAGCAGAAGGGATACCTGAGCTGCCTCCCTGCCGGCGCTGCTTGTCCCTACGGCCTGCAGTCGCACGGCTGGAGAGCAAGAGCAGCCCTGAACCCACACAAGACGCTGAGGCAGGAGGTCAGGCAGTTTGTTTATTGGCAAATAAGTGCTGAAAACCATGAGCCCTACATACACAGGTGCTCAGTGCCCTGTTACATTAGAGTGGTCACGACACCATTGGGGAAAGTGCAAAAGATCAACAAACAAGCAAAGTTAGTTTTGACATACTGAGGGGAAGGGTGGTGAACAGAGAGCTTGGTGCAGGTGAGTCTCTTCCATCCAGCTTGAGTGAAAACTAGTTACACAGCAGCAGAAGTCCTTTAGGCGAGCTCTAGCTGAAAAGCTCATTATAGGATTAAAAGGCATACACACCTGAGCACTCCCTTTGAGCTAAACCACCACGTACATCAAGGGCAGCCTGGATTGTTTAGTGTGTGCATGGCCAGGAATTGCTCATTCTTGGAGATAACAGCAAGTGGGATTACCCCTTACTGTACTAGGATGCACCAAGTCTGTTCACTGCTGAGATGGGAGGGGAAATAGTTAAATCAGTGATCTAGGGTGAAAATAAAGTCAGGCTAAAACATGCCTGGAACAGACGCACTGAAAGAAAAGCCTGGACAATTAACACCGGGAGCAAAGCTTGTAAAAAGGCTTGTAAACTCTTTGCAGTCCAAGAGCAGTTTCTCAGAGGAAATGCAAGCAAGATGCATGGTCCCTTGCACTGAGGTTTGGTTTTTGACATACAGGCCCTATGTTATTAGGTTGGTCTTCACAAAGAAATTTCCTTCCAGCTTCAGGGGACAGTTCTAGACTGAAGCCATCAGGCACCACGATAGTAAGCATGGCTCTTAGAGAGCCCTGCATTACTGTTCTCCCACAGGTGAGCAAGGTGGACGGGTTTAACGGGCTGTTAATTCTTAGATTCAGCTTCCTTGCCTTAAGAGCTAGAACATGTCAGAGGGTTTGTGTGGGACGCTTCCCCACTGGAATGCTTGATGGTTTGACTTGGGCAATTCTACTGCTGAAGAACGGAGAGGACGGGAGGGGCAGACAGGCACTAACCCACACCAGACACAAGGGAAGTGTAACTTAAACTCCGTGAGCAGCTGCTGAGGGAGACAGCTTGCTGGCCCTGGGGAAGCCACTGCGATAAACAAGACTAGGGTAGGGTAGAAAAAAGTCATCAAGGAATCTTGCGCCATCAAGACTAACCTCAAAGCAGGCTGCACTGGTAGTTAACGAATTCAGTCTTGGGTGCCATCAGCCCTTTCCCAAAACCTTACTGTAACAGTTTTACCACATCTTTCCCACAATTCCTGTATTAGCAATGGAGTGTCGACCCTGAAGAGAGCAATGGTCTCGGATGAAGAAATCCGCATTAGAAGTGCCAGATGAGGGGTGCATTCTGCTTGTACATTCATCTTCCTGGAGACATTTAACTTAACAGTTCCAAGTAAGTGACAGGAACTTTCCCTTTCTGGTTCCCTCTTTCCCCTATGAGCCAGTCTGGATCCATGCCTGGCAGGCTGTACACAGTGATCATCTGGGGAGAGAAGACGGCATTAGACAGGACCTTGTTCTGCAGACAGCGCCAAGAGGTTCGGTCAGATGGGTACTGAAAGAACAATTAATTCCTGAAGTTCATTTAGCAGGCATCTGTGCCCTTTCCCTGGAGCCATCTGCAGCTTTAATAGGAGATCTACAGAAATCTGCCCAGTGATGTCCCTGTTGCCTTTTCATTTTCCAAATTGACTTAAGGTATTTTCACATACAGGGTGGCGTGATACTGCTGTGTCACCCCTTCTGAATACAAAAGTTCAGTCTAGTCAACGAAAGACTTTGAAACTTGCTGAATTTCCTTTTTTCTCAGCATGATTAGACCAGGCCTCCAGCCAGTAGCTTATCCCATTGCTCTCAGATAAGGTAGCTATATTTGAGGGTCACTGAAGATGCTAAGTATTGGGGTATTTTGTTAGCTGGGTACAACTAGACTCCAATAGGAATAGAAGAGTTACTGGGGTGATACTCTTAAATAGCAAACGGCCATGAGCACAAGCTCACTGAAACTCAGCAGATACCAGTGTCAAGGAAAAGACTCTATTAGCAGTTCCATAAAACAGGGTTTTTAGGGGCAGGAAAAGTAACCAAGACCTTGCTGAGCATGCAGTGGGCTGCTAGGCAGTTAAAGCAAAGTTCAACGCAAAGGAAAGCTACCAACCTCATCTGCAAGAAGTGCCAGCTCGGTGCTGTCAGCTGCTTCATAATCATAGAGGACTCTGGCCTTCCGTGTCCCACTGGCAGGAGGCTTGACTTCATTTGGGTTCAGGACGCTCTCTGCCATGGTGTTAGGCACCCCAACAATCGTGGGCACAACTGGAATAGTAGGCACAGCAGGGAGTGTGGCAGCAGCGACAGCTGGAAGAGAGGTAGCAGCTGGGGGAGGAGATGTGGATTCTGCGTTGCCTACGAATGTGCCTGAAAATCTTACGCAGGAGAAAAAAGCAGAGTTCAGTAAGGCTCTAGTATGAGGAACCAAGAAAGAGCTCTTTCTTTCAGTAGTTACACTGCAGAGATGATGCTCAAGAGTTCCAGCTAACAGCTGTAACATACCTACGCTGCCCTTTGAGGGGGGAAATGCACTCGGTTCTCGGGTGCCGAGACTATGCAACAGGTAATATTTGTCTGCTTATTTTGATTCCAGTGTCCTGTTACAGGACTGGCACCTAACTTGCAGAGTACGAGAGTGAAGTGTGGCACCAGAGGGGGGTCTGGGCAGGTGCTATTCTTGGCCCTGCAGCTGTTTCGCTGGGTCCATTGTGCTGTGTCCTTGCCCTGCTCTCGCATGGTCCGTGTTCTCTGTTTAGTCTGCTAGTTCTTCAGGAAAGGGACAGTCATTGTTGCTGTTAAACCGGACGCCACAACTGGAGGCTCCCAGGCTTTCTGGGCTCTCTAGATAGAGTAATGGGGCTCTGTCTCGTTTATCTGTAGGAATCCCCCCTCTGTACTAAGGGAGTACAGCTCTGGCCCCTGCTGGCCTTTGTAGCGAGTCTGCAGAGACTCCAGAGTTTGGCTGAGGTGAAGAGCTCTTAGAGCCACTCCTGTGCAACATCCTACTTACATTTCTCCTTTGGAGCTGCAAGCATGGAAAAGAATGGAACAGGAGTAGTGAGTGATCACGCAGAGACAACAGCCCCTCCTGGGTCAGGCCACCGCACTGATGCGACAGGTTGACAGACAAAACAGCCCTGCCCGCGCCCATGGGATGTGCAGCCAGCAGCACAGAATTAGTTACTGCTGCAGCTACGCACACTCAGGCTTGCTGCTTGGCAACAGGAATTTGTCTCCCATGTGATATAACTAATTTAGAGGAAGAACGTTCGAACTCTCATGGCCATCGTGCTTTGAGATGAATGTATAAAACCCAGATGAATCCAATGGCATTTAGCCTGCTCTAAATGCAATACCACCAGGATTGGTCATCATTCTGTAAGCTCAGAAGCTGTGTCAGAGCTTGGAGGGGGCTTTAAAACTTCTACCCAACATTATGATGCGGGATGGGGAAGGAGGCCTGAGCTAGGGGTAGCCAGCTGAGTAACCCTTAGAGAAGTAAAAGCAGTCTCTTGTCTCACCTGCCCAGTTGCTTCTGCAGGTCCAGCATGTATTGGTAACACTGAGCATAGTAGTTGGTCTGAGACTCCACAAACTCGTGGAGACAGCGAAGATGATTCACCTGGAGGGAGAAGTACCATAAGCTGGTCCGTGAGTTTGGGTGCCAGGCACAGGAACCCTCTTCCTGCAGCTGCTACCTACCCCCACGGGAAGCAGACTTGTGCAGGCCAGTATTTAAAAGAGTTACTTGGTTGGCTTGAATACACTAATTTGTTAAGTTTGGGAATGTTGCATAGGCCCAAGGGTGATCTGAGAGAGGAGGCTGCTCCTGGCACTCTAGCCATGCCCATGTGGCTAGTCCACAGCTCTAGTGAGAGAACAACAAGGTTTTTCTGGCTCGGAAACATCTCAAGGACGGCAGAACTGCGGGTGTCACAGTGGCACTGCCTGTGCATGCTTCATGATGTTTTTAGTTTGAGCATTCCAGCATCCAAATTTATGATGCCTTCTACCTCTACTCCCAGTGCAGGGCTCCGCCATCCTCTTGGCATTCTTCTAGAAAAGGGCCAAGAGTCTCTGTAGTCCCTGTCACCCCTTCAGTTACCTAGGAAGACTCACATGCGTGCTGCTGATCCCCTCCAGCAGGAGACGTGTCACCTCTGCCTGTCGATCAAACTCGGTCTGCGTGAGCCTCAGCTCGTGTTCTGCCTGCAAAACAGGACAGGGTGTTCAAGACAGCACAAGGCAAGGACCGCTATTGTGCCTCTTCCAGGGAGAGGCAACACCCACCTCCTCCACCCCCCCCCTCCCTTCTGGCACTGAGACAAGTGTGCTGTTGGCTCAGTAGGAGCCACGTGCACCAGTGACACTGAGCATCAGGCACAAGACACCCTGGGTGAGGATCCCAGAGGCCTCTGGCTGTATTTCGGCTTGATTCCTGCTTGATCCTACACTGGATCACTGCAGGTCATGGAATGGCAGCTCAAGACTGACGCATCAAGCTAGGAAGCTCCTACTCCCACAAGACTAGAACGTGAAGATGGAGAGGCTTTGTTAATCCTGAGGTATGTGGAAAACCAGTCCCATGCCAGCACCTGTCCTTTTAACCTCCCCCCCCAAGCCTATAGGCATCAGAATGTGACAACCTCCCTAACTGTCTCTCCAAAAGCACAACTTCTGCTGGTATCCTTTCTATTACCATAGAACAAAGGCTGAGGCCAGGGAGCATTTACTAAATTGCTGTTACTAACTACATCTCTCCGCAATGGAGATGAACGTCCCAATCCAACTTCTACCCAAGGCTCTCCTTTGAAGCCTAAGCCTATAGGCATCGGAATGTGACAACCTCCCTAACTGTCTCTCCAAAAGCACAACTTCTGCTGGTATCCTTTCTATTACCATAGAACAAAGGCTGAGGCCAGGGAGCATTTACTAAATTGCTGTTACTAACTACATCTCTCCGCAATGGAGATGAACGTCCCAATCCAACTTCTACCCAAGGCTCTCCTTTGAAGCTAGTTATTTATTTTGAGCTCGGAGGAATTAAACAATGGTTAACAGAAGGCAGCTATGCAACAGACATTGGGAATTCAGAGACAGATTGATACTGGAGACCCTCTTTACCAAACAGACAGAACACTTCTCCCCCCACACCAACAAACACTAGGGCAGTTTTGCAGTACCAGAATACCCAGGTGGATCATTGCAAAGAGAAGAGCTCCAGAAGTGTTGGAACAGTCAGGTGCTCTGGTGCCTGCTCTCCCCTCCCCGCTGCCAGATGGAAAGAGGTGGCAAACAGGCACTTTTGTTCTCTCTGGCACGCTTTACTCCTTAACACCAAGCAGAACATGCCAGTTCCCTCTTAGGATGGCACAGAAGAGTGATGTCCACTCAGCTACAGCTTGCTGGAAGGAGTACGGGTTCTGTGTCCTTCTCCCCTTCTCCAGGGGGGTGCAGCAATCGGAGGGCTGCCTGCCTCGGTGCCGTGGTTCCTGCACGGCACCAGTTCTGTGACAGAGCTCCTTTTGCTGCTTTGGAAATGCCCTGATCAGTCTGGCCCAGGACTTGTTTGGACTTGACCCCGGAGAGCTAATCCAGACAGGCTGATAGTCTCAGAGCAGAGGCCACATCGCTGACGTTCCTGAGCAGGGTCACCCCAGAGGAGACCCAGCCTTCTCAGCAGGGCAAGCTGGAGGCGCTGCTGCGGGCCACTACACCTCTCATCTGGTAACAGCATTACCAGTACTGTTGCACAGCTAGGCTAGAACAAAGAAATGCTTTGACTGTCTTTTAATCAAATTTGTCTATTTTAAGCTACAACTGATCTATTTTCTTGCATCCTCTGTATGAAAGGGATTATTTAAAGGAGAAGGAGGAATGTAACAGGAAATACCAGTACAGAGCCTTACTAAGCACCAAGAGATTCTTGCTCCAGTGAGCTGAGCAGAGACTCCAGTAGCAGCAGAGCTATTTGAAACTTGTGACAGGCAGACCCAGCTCCATTTGGCACTGCCTGGGATTTGACCCATTGCCTCTCCCTGCTAGCTCTGAGCAGTTGCAGGATGTCGTTTCCCATAAAGCCAGCACTGGACCGTGACCTGGGAGGTCCCTTCCAGTCTTGTGCTTCTCCAAAACACGAAGAACTTTGAAGTTCCCTGACATACTTCGGTCTATCCAAGCAGGATTGACCAAAGGTAGAGGATAGAGGAACAGAGCCTTGCATGCTTATAGCTGACTGCAGTCTGCTTATTTGTTTGAGGGACTGAAGGATTTAAAGTACAGGATGAGCTGGTTCAAAAACAGCCAGTCTGCTCTGATGATGCATTTAGAGTAAGGCAGTAATAGGTTGCTATCATGCGCAGCATGCAGGAACGTGCCATTCTACCACCTTGCAGTTCAGGCTTCAGGCTAACGTCTGCTGGGGGTGTTTGAGGTACGAAAGGCAACGGGATCCCAGAAGGCGTCTCTGGAAGCTCCATACCATGCTGGAGCTCCACACAGAGCTCACCCTGATCTCTAGTCCACTAGCAGCCCTCCATCCATCTTCACGGATGAGTCACACTCCCCTTGCGGAGTCCAGAAAGTAAACAAGATCTGGGACTTTGTCTCCATGGATCCACTCAGAAGGGGAAGTGCAGCTCACCCAGACAGAGTCAACTCCACGACAGGCTCCAAACCTCCCACCCTGCCCTCCTGACAGAGCTGTTCCCTCCAGCAGCTGGGGCTGTTCGCGGGGAAACACTCTGTCCTTGCTTCAGCTCTGCTCAGAGCTCCTGCTCGGACCCCACAACAAGCAGGCAAGGGGCTACTAGAGGCTAATGCATGGCACATGCAAAAGTGGAGCAGGCAGGGCCTTTGCCGCAGGAGCAGAGCTGAATCACTTCACAGCCCATCACCTCTGCTCCTGCGACACCGGTGCAGGGCTCTCAGTTGCCTTTTTATCACATACGCACGCCTGGTTTGCCTAGGAAGTCTCTCACACTAGGTACAGCCGACTGGCCCACGGGGCAGGCTCTTCCCAAGCCACTGTCAGAGTCGCACTGAACCATTACAGCTGCAGGATCAGGCCTGGGGCTGACAACAGCAACATCCCACTGATCCTCCCCTGCATGTGTGCAGGCACACAGCACCCCCACCCCCTAAACACCACCAGCATGCCCAGAAGGTTTGAGCACAGTTTCAGCTGGGTACTTACTTTTTCCACCTCGTCGCTCCAAAGCTGTAGGGGCCACAGAGCAACAGGAAAGGAGATCAGTGTTGGAGACGTCGAGAAGCACTCGGCATTAACACCAATCGGCAAGGACGCTCCGTGGACACAGCAGGCCAACTCCAGGGACAAACTAGCCCTTCACCCAGCAGCAGCTGCCAGATTGATGCCCCTTCCCCTCATTCCTGCACCCTCGAGCTCAGTTTCACAATGGGAGAGTAAGTCCATGACACCAGAGCCAGCGGCACTCCAGCTCTGGTTCCTGCCAGGGCTGTTACAGCAACTGCATTCAACGGGCTCCAGGAAGAAAAGGATTAAGCAGCAGAGTCCTCTGAACAGCAAGGGTTACCTTACTGAAGCCTGCAGAGGTTCATGTTGAAGGACAGCCCTTCTTTTAGGATTGCAGAGCGACAGGTGAGCCGCTTGAGCCCATGAACAGGGCCTGGGAACTGCTGTGAGCTCAAGCCAGACAGGGGCCAGTGTTCCTCACCCACTGGTCTAGAGAGCTCAGGTTAATGGGATCATAATCCAGCCAGTCTGCGCTACCAACAGGCATGTTCAGCTATGGGAAGGAGGAAGCAATGGCTGGATGCTGCCTTTGAGCCGGGCAAAACACCACGCTACTCCTTCCTACTCTCCTCACCCACAGGCGCACGTTCGGGGCAGCAGAACGCTGCCAGCTGCTTGCTGGGATCTGGCTCCAGGACATGAAACAGTTGACAACAAAAGTCACGCACAGCGATGGGAAAGGGAGAGAAGAGGTAGAAAAACACATTGATCCTTCCCAGAGGTCCTCGGCTTGGCCTTTCCTCAGCAGACAACTACTCCCTCAGCCCTGGCAACATGGAGAGAAATCCCCCTGGATCAACTGGGAGCGCACCAGCCTGCCAACAACACCCCACATCAGTGGGGCCAGGGGAGATGGCCTCCGAGGACCTCAGCTTCACCCTCTGATGTCACCTTTGCAGATCAGGGAAGCTCACCATAGCATGGCTGAATTTGCACTGCAGGCACCTGGGAGCCCTGCGCTGGATGCTGCGGTGTCAGAGGGAGAACACGCTCTGTTTAGACCCAGGGTCTCCCAACTGAACCTTGTTGAGGTTTGCTCACCAGCAACTGCCCTCACATGGGCTGTGGCAGCCCCAGGTGCAGAGACAACTTCACCAGACAATACAAGGAGCACCTGCAGGAGCTGCCTGCACTGGTGAAGGACTGAAGCAGGAAGGTGTTATGCCAGGCTCCTTGGCTTGCTGCCTGCTCCTGTTCTGGCTTCTGCCCCCTGGCCTGCAGCTCAGCTCCTGTTCCACGGTACGTAGCCCGACCGGCACCTCTTCTTACTTGAGTGGAGTTATTGTAGCCTTACGATCGCAGGCTGTCCCTGTGCAGCGCTCAGTGCGCTGAGGCTGGGTGTTTTCTCTGACCTTTAGGAGGATGTTTTGTTACTGCAAAGCAGGAACTGGTTCAAATAAGGCCTGGGCAATTTCAGCCATGCGCGGGGACACAAGCCCCTTCCCCTTCTCAGTCTAAGAGCTCCTACTCTGGAAGGCAGATGGCGGGAAGATCCTTGTAGGCAGCTGAGAAGCAGGTCCTAGCCTGAACTGCTGCTCTGGCACAAGGTGTCTCCAGCACACCCTCGTGTTTTTGGAGCAAGGTTTACTACAGGGGCAATGGGAAGCTTTCACTCTGGCCACAGGTCTTCCTACTTAGATGCTGTAGACAGCACTTAAGCCATTTCAGGCCCATTTAATCATTGCAGTACCCGTTGAATTTGTAGCCAGATTTGTTTCTCTTCTGTTGGCCTTGCTGTGCAATCTCCAGCTCTGTCCCTGTGGTGCTCTGGGGCAGTCCAGCTTTGCCCAGATCTATCCCTGGGCGAAGGCACTATGCGGCTCTAGTCAGAAGTGTTTCAGACAGCTCAGGGAGCAGAAAAGGCCATGATCTGCGCCTGTCTACCTCCACCCCAGCTCCAGCCAGAGGAACCCTCTTTAAGGTACTCAATATGTTTTTCTTGGAATCGTTCCTAGGAGTACAGCGCATGGCAAGTGGCAGGGTCTGAGAGAAAGGGATATTGAGGCTTACACAGCCCACGTACACCTTCTTACACAAAAACAAAAGGTCAGTGTGGGAGAGAGGAGAAATGGCTCCTCAGGCTCCAACTCATATGAAACCAGGGAGGTGCTTATCTCCAGGTGGATCTAATTCCATCTAAGCCCTCCTGTTAGGGAAGGGGAGAAAATAAGAGCACAATGTTATCCACCTCTCCAAAAAACAACAACATAAATTTAGCATCCAAATCAGAGCTCTGCTGAGGGCATATGGTCCAGGAGAGAGCTGACCTGTTTGCTCACCTGTAAGAAAGTTGTTACCTGGGCATAAGCAATCTCTCCCTCCAGAAGGGAGCAGAGCTCAACAGCAAGGTGAGCAGCAGCCGCTGCTTTATACTGCCAGTACACACTAAGACTAAAATAGCACAAGGACTCTGGCCTGGAAGAAAAGCGGAGCGACAGTATGAGGAGCTCCTACCTTGCTGCAGTGCCTGACCCCTTGGGACGAATGCTGGGATTAGAGAGCTTGTTGCAAAGCAGTCCTGCCTGCAGGGAGCTGGGGAGCAGTCTGGGCTCAGCCCATGTTTTGCTAATGAGAGATGCCAACTGTTACTCAAGTCACCCCTGCTAGTGCAGCTGGACTTCAGGTGGCACTTCAACCGCCAGTTGCAACCTCTGAAATAGATGGTTTTGGAAGCCACAAGGACCACTGCTGGCCAGGCCAGCAGGTTTCCTACAGGCACTCCTGGTAGCAGGCCCTGCTGTGCAGCCATCAAACATGATGAAGTGGTCAAGGTCAGTGCTGGCTGCTTACCCAGAGCAAGACGGTCTCCTAGAGCCCTGCTCTAACTGTCCCATATCATCATCACTGCTGTCAGAGCGTCTCTAGCAGAGCTCTGAAGAGGGACCACTGAACTAGGCAGAGACGTGCCAGGGTAGACGCCTGTGGGCTAAAAACCCCCCAAAATCTATTTCTCCTGTCATGTTACTGTGCTTGGCATCTGCTCCCCAGAACAGCTTTGCAATACAGCAAAAGCAGACCAGCTTGCAGTTTGGCGATGACTAGACATGTTCAACTGAGCATCTGGGCACTCTGAGAGATGCTAATTATGCAGATGCTTGCCTTCAGGTCTGCTTCAGAAAGCCTCGGGGAACGATCAGGATACCCTGGTCTAACCAGAGCTATTCAGAGGCAGGGAAAGCTCAGTTTCTCTCCTCTGATTCTCCTAGAGCTCAGTTTTAGGCCGTTACTGTGCTGTCCTGGGAACAGACCTTTCCAAGGGAGAACCAGAGCCACAGCCTTGCTGCTAGTTGCTGTACTGGGAGAGATGGAAACTGGGCAATTGCTACAGCGTCACCAGTATCAGCTTCTTCCTAAGGAGTCTCATCACCGGGCCTGTTACCCATGGAAATAGTTTTCTAGCTATTGTGCAAAGCTATATCTGATCCCAGCATCACTCTCCAAGAAGGTCAGGACAGATCCCCCTGGGAACTAACACTGATGCTATCAGCTCAGACATACCTCTTTCTCCAAATGGGATGGGTTTCCCATTAACCAAATCCAACTTGTTTCCATGACGTTTTTTGTTTGCTAGAAGGCTCAGCTGTCCTTTTTCATATCTACAGATCCCACTCCCCAGCCCTTCCACTCCCAGATTATTCTATTAACAGGCATCAGTGTTGTTCTGAACGCTATTTAGGAAGCAAGATGATCAGTTTTCAACATTTTAACGAGAAATGTGACATTGTGCAATGGGGAGCCATGAACACAGCACAAACTCAATTGCTTGACCACAACCACTCAGTGCAACACCAGCAGAGATGCAACGGGCTATTCACCCACCCCCAGCGCATCTGACTGCATAACAGCCGCCAACAGACAGGCCCCAAGATGAAAGGAAAAAAAAATGACCTCTATTTGCAGAATAGACAAGCCTGCACTGTCAGCCTACTGCGTTACTGACACGATGGGTGGCAGAGAGATTCCTCCACCTTTGCTTCTCCTGACCAGCTACAAAGCCTCTGAGCACTGACACCACAGTACTGATCAGGCAGTCACGCACGTGACATTGCCAGTGTACAGCTGGAACCATCCAGAAAGGCTAACCTTTGAGGTTTTTTCCTTTCAATTGCTCCACTAGCAATAAAAAAAAAAACAGTCAGAAGATTCCCACTAGATTGGCAGAGAAACTGGAAAGCAAACCACGCAGCAAAAGTGCCAGACCCTGACCATGCACCCCCACAGGGGTGATCCGCATCCTTAAGGTTGAGTCAGAGGAACCCTGGGCAGCCCATGTCACATTAAAATGTTGAAAACATTTTAGGTCTGAGTTTAAGTCAGGTGAAGAGAGGGGCAGGAAGAGGTTGGAGAGGCAACATCTAGGAGGAGGCAATCTTACCGCTGATGCGCTGGCGGAGAGAACGTAATTACGAGGTCTAGTCTCCTGAAAGTCAGGCACAGCCTAGTGGGGGGAATAGAGTTTCATGTACAAGTCACGCAGAAGAGTCGATAGTTGGGCAACGGATGGAAGAAGGGACTAGTGGTTTTCTCCTGTCTGTGCTGGGAGCTTAGTTCAAATTCTTATGGGATGGCAGGAGGGAGCTCTCCCAACAGCCTGGGCAGCAGTGCGTGGAAGCTCTCCTCAGGTGGAAGCCAGGCTTGTGCAAGAGGAGGTGGACTGGCTCATGCAGTCACACCTGGTACCCGAACAGCAGATATTTCTACTGTTAGAAACTCTGCCTGTACTTACAGCTATCCGCTCATACGGCGGCCACTTGGAGTGGAGATGAGACAGCACAATCTCAAATGCATTTCCCATTCCCTTGCAGCCAGCAGGTTGCTCATGTCATGTTGGCTCAGTCCAGTGGGCAGGACCTTCCTTCCCCTTGCTTCCCGCCTACAGTCCTAAAGTGTCCCTGTACAGGGCTTTGTCCTTAAAGCGGGCATGTTTACTAGCGTCAGAGCATCCTTTCCACGATGCCTTTTAAAGAAACACATCTACTTGTTCTTACTCTCACCAAGCCTCTGGGCGTGTTTCCTCCTAACAGACTCAGATCTGCTATTTTCAGTAAGGGGCATGGCTTAGCCAAAGCAGATCTAGTCCAAAGCCTTGCTGTTGCCAAAGGTAGCGTATGAGTTTTCTGACCTCTGGGATGAAAACCTCCAAGCCACCTTCTCCGTAGCTAAACTTCTGCCCTGGGGCAGGAAGACTTAAGCACTCTGGAGGTTTTCCTCATTGGGAATGCAAGGGATCCAGTCCACCCCCACACAGGTGTGGGCTCACTAACCATCACTAACATGGTCTCTCTATTCAGCTCGGCTAAGACTAGGCCTCCTCCTAGGATGGCCTTTGGCTGTAGCATCACCCAAAGAGGTAAGCCAACGAGCTAGCTTACATCAGGACCACCACACCGGTGTGATGGATCAGGGTATCCCCCTGGCCAGCCTTTACTGCGCAGTGGGTTGGTGTGCAAGGCCGGCACGCAATCCAGCTGTAACCCAGCTACGTTGTTAATCCTCTCAGGCCCCACGTTTCCTCTCCCAGGTTAATCTCTTTGCAGCTCACCCAGATTTACTTATACACGCTGACCCCATTTGTTGGGTCCCGAGCAGCCTGCTGGAATGAGTGACCAGTGTGTGGAAGAGCAGTCAGGCAGTCCCAACAAGAAGAGATTTTTTTTTAAACCATCCAGGAGTTTTGGGGATGGCTGGAGGAAAGAATAAGGAGGAGCGATTCCTACTACAAGTCAAACCTGAATATAGGGAGAAAAAAAATGCACCAGTGAGATTTGAGGCCAGCACAGCAACTAGGCTTGACCCCTCCCTGTGGGGAGAAGAGATGTTTCACAGAAATAGCTTTTTTTTTTTTTAAAAAGATCAAAAGCAACTGAAGAAACCTCTCCTCCCATTCCCCAGTCTCCAGGGAGTCCCAAAACTAGTCACAGCACATGGGATGAAGGAGGCAAGCTGCTCTTGCACTCCTGTGCATGGAGAAGGTGTATTTGCAAGCAGTGGTCAAAAGGGACCCACCTCCCTCCCCCTTCCGCTCTTTAACGGGGAAAACGGGCAGAGCCCTGGAGCCTGGAGGACAGAACAGCACCGCAAACAGATCAACCTGCCTGTCATTGTCTCTGGGCTGCCTCCCTTCCAGGAGAGGGACTTGCCACCCAACCCGACCCTCCTCCTGCCTGCAGCCAGAGGAGCCTGCGTGGGTCTTTCCGGGAGCCCCTGCCTCTCTTGAGCACTGCTTGCAAGCAGCGTTGATAGAACCGAGTACATGCTCCAGAGGGGCTGCAGGCAGCCAACAGATGCTCCCATCTTTCTGGAGCACCTTCTTCCCCAGGCAGCCACAGCCCTGACCATGCTCAGTACATGCTCCAGGGCCAGTCCCAATGGGACAAGGGAGATATGAATTTTCATTTAAAATGAGAAAGAGACAATGAGAGGTGTTAAAGAAAAAAAAAAAATCACAGCACTGTTAGCACAGTCAATACTCACATCTCCCTCACACTGAGCAAATTACAAAGAAACAAAACAAAAAGGTTAGTGAACAAAACAGCATCAACAGGAAGGACAAAGCACAAAGTCTGAGGGAAATGCACAAGCCCAGACACTCGAACAGCAGCTCACGGGTCTGGGCAGCAGCTCACTTGGAGGGTCAGTCACGAGACAGAAGCTGTAGGAACGCAAGTTTGCACTACGGAGGGGAGGAGCAGCAAGAGAGTGGTGAGCTGGGAGAGGTGTGATACTTTAGGCCAGCTTGGATAGAGAGGTGTGACACAGGACTCCAGGCATGTTACAGGGAACGTTGTCTAATGATGAGTTAACAAGCCTAGAGCAGAGGCAGCAGTTCTCCCCCCTGTGCTGGGAGCTTCCACCTGTGCCTTGTCCTCTAGTAGTCAGTGAGGCACCCAGAGCCCTGAGGCCAGGGACCCCACCTTTAAGCTAAGCTGGGGAAGAGATGGGTGCCCACAACAGCAGCTGAGGTTGCTCCTCTGTTGTGTGATCTCTGTTTTAAAGAAGCAGAGTGGCTGAAACGTGGCTTGGGGTGAACACCCTGGAAAGCCTGGACTGGCTCTGCATCCTGCCTGGGGCGCCCCAGCCCTGCAGTTCCAGGGGGAAACCAAGTTTTTCTTTTCCAGCTACAGGGAAGTCCCTCACCCAAGGGTCTGTGTGCAGGTGAGAGGCCTTGGGATCACTTCATGTAGGAAGCAAGGTAAAGAGAGGGTGGAAAGGGAGGAAGCACAGGAGGTATCTGAATTCCTGCTCTGATTGGAGCTTAAGGTAAAGCAATGGCCACCACTTCCCACTGAGACTGGGGGCACTGTCCCCTTCAGAAGGGGAAACGGGGATCCCTGAAGTTACCTTCAGTGGAGCTGGGTGACCTGACTGATGAGAGGAGGCTTTTTTTAAAAGGGCAGCTATCACTTTTGTTCACGGCTTTCCCACATAGGCCTGAGCACTCTGTTAGACCTGCTGATGGAGGCTGCTGAGCTTAGCACAGCTTCCCCATATGGCATGTATGCAGTTAGAGCTGGAGAAAAGGGAAAACACCTGGGAACTGGCCTCCCAGGGAGCTGCGAGGCCAGAGGCCCAGTTGAGCAGATGGCTAGAAAACGGGCTCATGGCAGGGCTCCTAGGCTGGGATCCCAGTGCATCCCAGAGACTGACTGACAAGGATTCCTGCCTGTTGTGATTGCACACATTTGCTAGTTGAGCTCCTGGCCCCAGGCTAGAAGCAGAACTTGGCAAGTCCTTGTGCCAACAGCCAGAGTGCTACAGGATGGCAATCTGCTTCAACAAGGCCCTCCAGGGAACCCATCAGTGCCCAGCTACATCCTCTCTGCCTCCTGCTACACCGTCTCTGCCCAGGGAGAGCCCAGCTCCAGGAGATGCCTCAGGCCCAGGGAGCACCCTGAGCTGACAGGTCTCGTCAGCCTCAGACAAGCACTTTGAAGCGCTTGTCCCCATTGCTCAGGCCTGCGGACAGTGACACTGGCAGACTTACCAGTCCCTTCTGCACTGCTCTGACCTGGGACCTTTGCTAGTTTACTTGCCATGAATTCCCCAAAGCCAGAGGACAAGACTAGCCTGTAACTAGACAGCACCATGAATTAAGTGAGTAGAGAGGCTGAAGGAAGGACCTCTTGGTAGACAGCGTGACACCGGCCAGCCCTTGCAGGCTCCCCTGGCACTCCTGCCTGGGGAAGACTGAGTTGGCAGAATCTTAACTAGTCTGAAAGCCTGGGACTGCTGCAGAGCCCCAGCATGCTCTCCCCTTGCGCACCTCCCAGCTCAGCTCTCTCTTGGCTTGCTTTGAGATCCCCAGGGAAACTTAGCAAGTCCTCAGAAGATGCAGCCTTTTAGTTACTAGCACAAATCGTCCAGTAGCCACTAGCAGTCAGGAGACAGGACCCTGGGTCAAGTAGACGTTTCCAGACTCTGGAAGCTCAGAACTATTTGTTTCAACAACTCCCCCATGGGAGGGCATCTGAGGAACAGGCGCGTGGCTCCTGCTCCCAGATCCCTTGCATACCAAATGAGCAATCCCCTCCACCCATGCCTGCCAGAGCCAGGACATAGTGGGGTAGCCTAATTTTTGTCCAGAGAGCATGTGGCATTGCTCATGTGAGCCAAGCCCTGGGACCAGAAGGACAGGGAGGGGAATGAGGGAAAAAGTTACCGCTGCTTTTGCCTCAGCAGCTTTGGCTTTCTTCAACCTGGCTTTGCAGGCATCCAGATCCAGGCGGCGGTTCTGCAGGATCCTCCGCTCTTTCTGGAAGAGACAGAAAATGGGATAAGAGCAGACTGCTTAGGAGCTGTTGGGGAGGGAAAGGGACAAGGTATCATCTAGGAATCAAATCTATTTCCTTATCAAAAAATGCTAGGGAGAAAGAAGCAGTTGCTATGTTCATCTCGTTAGCAAGAGTTTTGGGCCTGGCTGCCAGGGATACAGGCTAACCTTCTGGAAGCAGGGCAGCCTATGGGTGGGTGGTGCCCAGTAAGCTGCAGGAGTCGGGAAAGGAGTTACCTTCTTCATGCACATCAGCTGGCTATCCTTCCCTGCCGCAGAGGGAGCCCTGAGCAGATCTAGGATTGCTATTCCCCTATCCTTGCATTCTTTGAGGGGAGAGATATGGAGTCCTCCTTTCTCATAGGGAAGGAAAATGAGTTCTTCCAGGGCTGTCTCCCTCTCCCCCCACCCTCCTCATCTCCGCTGACATGACAAGCTTCCCCTTCCCTGCTACCATACTTACAGATATGGTTCGCCAATCCCCTTCCAGGAAGTTGCGCAGCGGGGTCAGGAAGTTGATGGAGGCAGAGTGGATGAAGTCCCGTTCTGCTGCACCTAAGCGCCTTAGGGACATGGTTTAGTGGACATGGTGGTGTTGGGTTGACGGTTGGACTCGATGATCTTAGAGGTCTTTTCCAACCTTAACGATTCTATGATTTTATGATTCTACAGATCTTGGAATATAGTCAATTGACTACATTGACATAATATAGTTTTTATTGTAAATGCACACAAAAAACTTTTGATGTAAAAAATAAATTACTCTAGGAAAAATCAAATTAAATATGTGGAAGTTTGTCCTGGTTTCGGCAGGGATAGAGTTAATTTCCTTTCTAGTAGCTGGTACAGTGTTTTGGATTTAGGATGAGAACAAAGTTGATAACAAGCGCCTTTGAGTCTCTCCAACTTTTATCAAGGTCTTCCCTGCAATAACAGGAGCCTTCAACTCCAGGAGAAACCAATTAACATTGTGTTGGCTTCAGCCAACCCACCCAGAGCTACCAGGCTCCAGTGTTGGGGGACAGAGGCACAGTGTACCCTGCCTGGACAAGGTGACCATGCCTGTACCGCACCAGCTTCAGTTCTAACTACAATCTGCTTTTAGCTTGAGGCCTCTTCTTAGCTGCTCCCAGTGCAGCTTTGATCTTATCTATCTGCTGAGGCACTTATTCCACTGATGTCCTTTTACTGCTACACCTGCTTGCGCACAATGATCTTTGTTTGTCTCATAAAACAGAGGCACAGGAACAGAGCAGCAAATTAAAAAGCACCAGAGCAGAAAAAAAATGAGTTGATTAGGCAGTGCTGACTATAGATGCAGTTAGAGCTGTTCTGCCTGTAACAGGACTCACTATTGAACAACTATTGATTTGGAGAGCGGTAACAAAGCTCGTGGCAGAGGCAAGGACAGCTGGAAGTTAAGGCTGTGCTTCTGTGCAGGTCTGCTGCTTAAAGAAGTCCAAAATTCCCTCAGGAAGGGGCAACTGTTAGGATTTAAGAGCAGAAAGACGCACTGTGGTCAGGAAGGGGCCTGTTGAGGCTTGTAGCCAAGCACCAACCTTCCCAATCTGTTTTCCTGTTCTCTTTCTGCTGGAGAAGGATTTCCACCCTCCGCTTGCAGGACACAGTTAAAGGATGGTTCTCCTGTTCAGAGTCTAGAAAGACTCTGTGCAACTAGATACCACCCTAGACTATAAATATGCTCAAACTGGACAAAGCTAAAGCCATTCACTGCAACTCCCTGTTCAGGCCAGTTTAGAAAGCCACAGAATAGTTTGTGTCCTGTATCCAGTTCCACTAGCTACCCTGGACCCGCGTGTCTATTTCTTCTCTAGCTCTGCCAGACTTGAGGACCGTACTGGGAATGGGGGGACCCCTGCCCCTTTTCCCCCGCAGCATGGAGCACGCTTTGCTGTGGAGTAAGACTTGACTTCCTACCTCCAGATGGGCTGTTCGCTGCTGTGCTAGAAAACACCCTGCTCTGGCATCAGTTTTGACACGCTAATAGGCAGGTTGCCACAGGGGGAGCAGGCCACCCTGCCCCCTTCAAGAGGCATGCTGCGGAAGTCTTAACCCAAAACAGTAATGGGGATACTCTCTTAGGAAGGGGTGGATTCCCAGGGCTTTTTAATTAGCCAGGCTGACTTACCATAAGGTGTCCCTGGCCCAAAGTCATTAGCTGCTTCTGTCATGTACTGTGCCAGCAGCTCCCCGTTGGTGACCCGGGAAGGCACCTTCCGGTCAAGCTTCTCATAGAGGAATTCTTCTACTCTGGCACCTGGAGAGAGGACACCAGCAGCAGTTACAGGATGGAGGATGAAGGAGGGGCCCCTGGAACTGGCATTCATGATAGCCCACCCCATACAGTCCTCAATCATGCACTGGATAGCAAACAGCAGCACTGGGAGAAGGTGTGCACTGGGAGAAGGTGTGCCCTCCCTTCCAACCATCTCCCAGTCCTCAGGAGCACGCCCAGGCATCTCTCAGCTACGTAGGGAAGGAAGGACAGGCCCTGCAAAGACACGTGTCTTCCAACCTCCACAAACTCAGTGGAACAGGGCTCTCTGCCAGAGGGCATGTCTTTTAACACTGTTTGAGCTGCAGGAGAGATTTGTCCTTCAAGCAGTAGAAGCTGGACTTACTAGGGTTTGGCTGCAGCAGAACCTCAGTCTGACGCAAGATCTTCTCTGTCCAGTTCTTTGTGAAGTCTGCTCTGGCCAGAAGGTTTTCAAAGTGGGCATCTAGTTCAGTCTTCTCAGCCTGGCCCAACTTTTCTTCAGTAAACTGCAGGAAGGAGGTAGTCATTAGAAGGTCTGTTCTGCTAAAGCAAAATTAGTGTGCTACAGGGCTATTAAGAGACACTGAGGCTTCTTCTGTCTCACGCATTTATCTTAGAGTAAGGCTAAAAAGCCTTCAAGGTGTCATCTTTGTTCCCAGGCATCTTTCAGGGGAAGATGGCAAATTTTTGCCCAAGAGTGGAACAAATATTAAGCTAAAAATAGAGTCCAGGTTTGAGAGGTGTTCCAGAATAATAACTTTTAATAAGGTCTGGTACAAAAATACTCTAGTTGTGAGGAATCTATTTAAATATGCACATGGCTTGCAGTACTTCATGCAGGAGAGCAACAGACACCCTTCAGGTGAGGCAAGGTGCCAACTCCTTTCACCTCCTCCTAACCAACTCTATGTCCTGCAAATCCAATGGGATCAGGAATGCCATCACCACCTCACAAGTCAGGCTTTCTTCTCATCTTATTAGACAAGCACGTACACAACATTGGTTTTGCTACAGGGCTCGTGAGTGCCCTCTGACAGCCATCAGACTGACAGTGTCCGAGCGCTGCCTCCCAGCTCACCTCCTGCCTTGCTGGCAGCGAGCTGCCAACTGAGCACCTGAGGTTTAAGGAGGCTCAAACTCAGGATTTAGATTAAAAAAAAAACAAACCACTTCCAGCAAGTGACTTCCTCTAGGACATGCAGGCTGGACAGGCTCTGAAGCAGGGTATTGAGAGAAATGTAACGGCGTCTGACTTCTCTCAGCACTCAGATTCATACTGGCAATGGACACTCCCTCCCTCCGTGATTCCTTTTAAGTTTAAAATTAGCAGCAGGGAAAAGCAGGCTGTGCAAGTCTTCAGTGTTTTCATACTGGGCAGTGACATATGACAAGCAAGGTTTGTCGGTCTGGAGGTGCAGCATCAGATGGCCTGGACACCCCCCATTGCTTCCTTGGGTGAATTCTGAGAGAAGAGCCTGTTCCCTCTCATCTCATCCCATCCCTTTCCACTCGCCTCTCAGTGATGTTGGCCAACTTCAGTGTATTTTTAAGCACAATTTCCTGCTCTTGATGGAACCAGCATCTTGTTGGATCATACTAAAAGGCCCCTTTAGACAGCTATGCCACTTGGGATCCTACAGAGGTTGCAATTGTCCTTTTTGGCCCTTGTTGCTGACCTCTGGTGCCACTGTTGAGTTATCAGGACGTGGTACTGTACAATACCTGGTACAGTCAGGTGCCAAGAGATTAAAGCCTGGCTAAAACTCTTAGATGAAATATAACTCCTGTCTGATCTGCCATGTGCAGCTTCTGTTCTCCTCTCCCCTATCCCACAGCTCAGCTCTAGATGGGCCAAGATGCCCTCTTCATGGGGTCTTGGTCTGGTGTCTGCTGCCCCTCCTGAAAGGCTTTCTGGCACGCTCTGTTCCTGTGGCTGCCCAACAGCCCCAGCTGTGTTCACACACAGTACAATGCTGGGAACAAAGTGAGATAAGGAGCAAGCCCAGAACCAGCACGCGAGGCAGGCAAACAGCCTTTAGGAGTCCTGTTACCATCTGCGTGCAAATGTTACTAGATGTCCGAGATATACAAGCCCTGGAGGTATGTTTACACAGTGACCTGTTTGGGCAAGATTCGAGCTAGAGCCAGTGAACTGCTTTGCCAGATGTCGGCAGTGACAGATACTCAACTGCAAGGACAGTCACACTCCCTCCTGCAGCTCAGTGGGGACGGAGGACTCGCAACCATGCATGACCAGGGATTGCTTCACTAGTCTCTTCCTCAGCACCAGTAGCCCCTGGTTACTGGCACTTATTTTCACCTCAGTCTTGCCGTGGCCCCATGGCTATTGCTGGACACAGCTAAAAGCAGATTCGAGGTGAGAGGGTGTTTGTATTGCTTTGTACCTAACGTTTACGATTGTCTTCGGGGGCCGCACATGACTATCAGACATGCGTGAGTGGCTGAGGCTCTCTTCCTCTGTCACTGTTGGGAGCCCAGGGCTGTTTTCAGACTCTGCCAGGCTGGGCTGAGTCACTGCCATGCAGCAAACTGGGGCTTCCCAGGTATTTGGCACCAATTCTCCAGTCATCTGTTTAAGAGCTTTCTTAAACAAGCCAAGACTCTTTGATGCAAGCATAACAGTCTCCCTCGCCCCCCCTTCCCAGACAGCTTTTTGAAATCTCATCTCACTTTCAATTCCAGCTCTTCTTCCTGCAGTTTAGACTCTCCTGCACCAGCATCTGCCCTGGAGCTGTCAAGCCTAAACCCAGTTTCTTGTCAGCTTGTTACAGCATTGCCGCAGAGTCAGATCACTGCTGAAGCCCTCCAGCATCTCCACAGTGCTGCTGCCAGCCTCTTGAATCACTCCAGCTCTGGGGTCCTTTGCTATACTCACAAGCGGCATCTCCAAGCATCGCCGTCCTTTGCGTCTGTTTTCTGCAACCCACCCCTTTGCCCGGTGCGGCGGAATAACATGGGTCATTTGCACAGCACTTGGCCAGGGAGCAGCCAGGACTCAGTCACTCAGTTCTTAGGTCAGGCACTAAAGCTGTTTGTCTTGCAAGAGGCCTGAGGACCTGCACCATGATCACTGCAAGCCTGGGCTATGCCAGAAGGGGAGGACGGGCAGGAATCTCAGTCACAGCCTGTGGCTCCAAAGGGTCAGGCCAGAAAACAATCTCTTATTCAGGCTTTCTTTCAGAGTTGGAAAGCAGGGCATGAACGTCATGAAGTGGGTGCAAGGGCACGGGAGGCTGTAGCTCACATGCTGGGAGGCTGTTGCTCCATTTACACTTAATTCCCTTAGTGCCTCCCTCACCCCTGCCCAGAAAGAAGTCAGCTATGCTGCAAAGTTCAGACCCAGGCACGGCCTCGGGGCAGTTGGTACCACTTCACTGAGGGTTGCTGCAGAGGGTGCTCTTTTCCTCCCCTGCAGCACACTTCTACCTCCTTGTCTGTGCACAGGGAGTCACTGATCTAGCTCAACTTGACCTCTTGACTTTTCGGGCAGATCTCGCTTGACTACACAGCAGTACTGGGAATGTGCCATCATCTAGCTCAACTTGACCTCTAACATGACTTTTTGGGCAGATCTCTCTCGACTACACAGCAGTACTGGGAATGTGCCATCAGGTGCAGGGGAGAGCAGGACCACCTCTTGCAGAAGCAGCTTGCAGTGAGATCAGATGAAGCTTCTCGTGAAAGCATAGCCAGCGAAGGAGACTAGAGGTAAGTTACACCGCCTTATCCTATGAACTGGTTCTTTCTTATATCTGGTGCAAGTGGAGATCTGAGCTTTCAGGTGGCCACAGGTCTCAGCTGCTGATCCCCTCTTAAGTGGCTGCCCAAGTCAGTGTCCCCAGTGACAAGCAGGGTAGAACAGCAGCAGTTTATGAAGTCTGGCTACTCAAACGTTTCAAGCAGAACTCCCCCATAAAGAGCTTCTGTTCCTAGGAATTTGTTTTCATAACACTTACAGAAATTTCATTATTTTTTCTTCCCGTTGAACAGTCATAAGATTTCACTGTGAGGCCAAGAGATGCAGGAGAACAGACGAGCTGATAATACACTCATGCCTCCGGACTGTAAAAAGACAGATTAAAAATATTTTGTGTCTTGCTGCTCCTGGACTAGAGGCATTGGTGTCTTTTGCAGCACCAAATACTCCACGCTGCCACAAATGGGAGTGTTATTTGGTTGTATCAAGTTGACCTACAGGCTTGGTGCGTATCCACCTGGGAGAGAGTCAGGGCGGGCAGAGCACATGCAATTGCAGTGCCTGGGAACCTTAAGCTCCTCCATCCTGCCGCAGCCGAACTACTCCCATTTGTTTTCTAGGACCTGACGGTTGGGTCAACAGTCCTGCCCTGGACCAATTCCAGGATCTGCATCCTGGGATCACGTGCCAGGTCTTGGTGTGAGAGGCCCCACCGATCCATCCCTGCAGCTGACCCAGCTGAGCACCAGTCCCGTCTTTGTGCAGGGAAGCCGATGAGGTGATTAATAATGCAGGGCAGCCTTTTGTCGAGTGCCACTCTCGCTCTCCAGGAAGAGGAGAGTCATGCTGCATTCCAGGGCATCAATAATTCAGCCAAAGGTTAGGTTTCCTCTGGGAGGCTTGGCTGGCCGGCAGGAATGCTAGATGCATTATCAGGGCCTGTGCGGGCAAGCAGGCTGACAGATCAGGAGAGCAGCACTTGGGCGACAGGCCCAAAAGAAGCAAGACCATGCTGGACTGCAGTTAGGGCAGCTGCCTGCGTTCACAGCTTGGGGGAAAACTCCCCTTTCCCCAAGAGTTGGTAGAGACACTCCTGGGATGTCAGGAGGGTAAGCAAGTAGGGCTGAGCTGGATGGGTCCCTCTGCACTACAGCTACAATATCAAACAAGGCTGTGCCTACAGCCCTAGAGACTAAAGGCCATCAAGGTTAGGCTTTAAAATAGCACGTGTTGTTTTCTTTGCTGAAAGCATTAGCACCTTTCTCCCCTTTAAAGCGAGGGGAATAAAATCCCAGTGCTCCCGCTGAGTTATGCCAACACCATAGCTGTTTTGCAAAACGCAGCGTGAGTTGACTTGTGTGATTTTTCCATCCCTCTCCACTCCAGCTGGCCCAGGCCTGTATGCTGTGAGCTCTGACAGGGTAGCTGCAGCCCCTTTGCAGAGGATCTGGTGGCAGAGTCCAGGCCCTTATACCACTTGCAGGGTCCCCAGTTTTTCCAGCTTGACATTACTTATGACTTTCCACCTTAAATCACAAAGATCAAACCAGGGCCAGGAGTCTTAAACCAGGAATGGTCTCCTGCACCTGCCAGTAGATTTGGGCCGATGGATTTTCTGAAGCCTCTGAACAGCTTCATAATGCCCAGGCTATTGTAACATTTGTATTTGCAGTGACCAGAGGCATGACAGAATCAGTTCAGGCAAATCTACCTCCCACCTTGTTGCATGAGGAGAGAAGCCACAGCCGCTCAGTCAGCATCTAAAAACTACCTGAATCTCAACAGCTC